CAGGCTGCTTCTAAATTACCATATAATTGTATGTTAATTATCATATTCTTCATACTTCAAGTGAACTTGTAGAGGAAATATAATTATAGCTACTAGATTCTAGACTCTGGCAATTAGGTGATTCAAACTATCTCTTTCTCACTTGTAATTCCTTAGGAGCATATCATAAAAGAGGAATGGTATTTCCCCCACAGTCCCAGCTGGTAATTCCAATTGTCCCATGATTTCACAGCTGCAAATCAGCCCCCACCCAATCACACTTGTCTCTGGCAAGGATGCTTTCCTTAATTAGAACATGACTTAAACTTTAGTCCTGGCCCCTGGGCTACCTGGGTGCAGGCTGGTCTAACTGGGAAAGAAAACATACTTGAACACAGAAGCTGTTTGCCCTGACATGGAGCAAAGGGAAGAGCAATTTGTCTGTTTGCTAAATTTGTTTTCTTTATCAGCTGAATTTGTTTTCTTTGATAACTTCTCTCTCTTATAATGTAGTCTTGTGTACAAGTGTTACGTTATTTTTATCTCTATGGTTCTTATACCTTTCCCAACTTGAGAGTAGTCTCTAGAAAAAGCCAGTAGGAGCTATGCCTTGTTTAAGCCTGTGTGGACAAGCTGCAGGGTGTGCTGTGCGGAGCAGGCAAGGCCCTCCTCTCAGGTCAGACCTAGCACTGTCCTTTCTTCTTCTTTTCTTTTTTTTTGCCTTAAGTTGTCAGGGTCCTTGTCACTTCTCTGGATAGTTAAGCCACACAGATGTTAGCTTCCCTCTAGAAGTCTGTATCAAAATACACATATATTAGAGAAAGGGCATATTTGAAGAAACTTGTGACTCCTGGCATTGTCTCTGCTCACCACTTAAGTTTTAGATAAATTCCTTGAAACGGCACCAGTAGATGGTAAACAGTACACAGAAAATGGGGAGAGGATGAAAGGAAAAGTAAACATTTTATTTTTCAAGTGACAAAAATTCATCAAGTGTCTATACATACATGGTATGTACTAGATACTCGGAGAGAGATAAGAGTGATGCAAAACATGCTTCCATGAATTTGGGAGATAATCTGTGAGCTGAGACAGATTTGTGAGACAGGTAACAGTGCCATTTGGCACATGTGGAAGTGCTGAAAATAGATAGTATTTGCTACAGAAGCCTCTTAGAGCTGTACAGTTAGGAGGTAGGAACCTTAGGTCTATCATAATACTGTGTGAGCACAGGTGGCTTGGAATTGGACTGTGCATAGTGTTTGGTGGAGAAAAGAAGCAAACTAATATCGCTAGAATGAACGATTTACTTTAAGCAATTCAGGACAGGAGGTGAGACTTTATCCCGTGGGCACTAGATAGGCATCTGCTGTGGTCTGAATGCTTTTGTCCCCTTCAAAAATTCATGTTGAAACTTAATCCCCAATGCAACAGTATTGGGAAGCATAGCTTTTGGGAGGTGACTGAGTCATAAGGGCTCTCCCCTAATGAATGGAATTAGGTGCTCTTATAAAAGGGCTTGGCTAAGGGAGTTCACCCCTTTTTGCCCTTTTACCTTCTGCCATATGAGGACACAACTTTCCTCCTCTCTGCAGGACAAAGTGTTTGAGGTGCCATCTTGGAAGGAGAGATGGGACCTTTATCAGACAACCGAATCTGCTGGTGCCTTGATCTTGAACTTAACAGCCTCTAGAATTGTGAGAAAAATAAATTTCTGTTCTTTATAAATTACCCAGCCTGTCACACAGACCAATGGAACAGAATAGAAAACCCAGAAATAAATCCACATAAATATAATGAACTTATCTTTGACGAAGTTGCCAAGCACACACACTGGGGAAAGGACAGTCCCTTCAATAAATGGTGCTGGGAAAACTGGATATCCATATGCAGAAGAATGAAACTAGACCCTTATCTCTTGCTATATA